GACCGCTGATTCCACCGGCTCACAAACTACATCAAACCGTTGTTGTTTCTATATGAAGTGGCAGCTACTGAAACTAGTCAAGTTATTCTTCGTCCTAAATGTGGCAATTTTACATTCTTTATTGAGCCAGAAATGGGCGTAATTTAGCTGGAAAAAGTCGGGTCTTCTCGGAACTTTTCAAGAGCCCATATAGCGATGCTATATCGATTGGGAAGGTCAAGCAGCTTCCGTTTTTGCACAGGCTGTATTTATATATCTACTTTAAGAAGTCGACGTAAAATGCGCCAAGTCATTACTTCCTGCGAACGGCGCCGAATCGACTCTCAACCACGACTGCGATATTTTATTTACTGCGTGCTGGACGTGGTCTATTCGGTCTAATATTATCTGATATTGAATGCTGGGTCTCAAAATGGATGATGATGTTGCGAATAGTAAGATTGGTCATAAATTGAACAAAGTGTGCGAAAAGAATTCTTTATAAACGTGATTTTTTGTAAACGTTGTTCAGGCGAAAATTTTTTCATGATAAAATGCCAAACAATACTAAACAGAAATAATGTAACAATTCTATACTACCTACGCGTGGTGTGTCAACAAAAGGCTATTGAAAAAAGTACCCCTATTAGATCACCCGTTATTACATATATATTATATATAATATTATACTCTAACCGTTTTTGGGAAATCGATCTGCAATTTTGCCCATGTCCTTTTCCCCCTAAAAATTGTTCATTTGACTAAACCGCCGATATCGTCTGGCCGTTCTATAGAAATATATTACATTTATCAAGATATCTTCACGAAATTGTCAAAAAGCCGGGGAGTTCTTGTACAGCTTATATTGTAACTCATTTTATCTTCGATTGCAAATGTACACCTAATCAATATTGCAAAAATCCAAAAAAGTGATGTCAATATGTGCTTATAAAGGTTGAAGTGAAATGTGTATCAAGAGACCAATAATATTCCAAGTTCAATGCCATTTCAAGCAACATTTGTCAACTTATTCGGATTTTCTCTTCTTCTTGATTGGCGTAGTCACCGCTTACGCGATTATAGCCGAGTTAACAACAGCGCGCCAGTCGTTTCTTCTTTTCGCTACGTGGCGCCAATTAG